TGTTACTGTTTTACCTAATAAACACCCGTAAACATTGTTTACAAATAAGAAGTCAATACTTGAAGTCGGGGATTTTAATAAAGTTACTTTTAAAAATCAACTATAGGTTTCTAATTCTTTATCAAATAAATATTGCTAGAATCCCAATAAAAAAAGGGCATAAATCAACTATAGATTTCTAATTCTTTATCAAATAAATATTGCTAGAATCCCAATAAATAAAAAAAAGGGTATAGTACAAATAAGCTCATCAAGGGATACTTATTCATAAAAGGATTCAAACAAAATTTTATTTTACAAAAAAAATCCACATATTGTCCAGAGATGTGTAAAAGACTAAAATAGCTCTTACATTTTGATATGCTTCAATTTCATCATTTAATTTAATTTAACCTAAATTTGACCCCAAATTTCACAAATTATTCAATTTTGACCCAAAACTCAATTTGACTACGATTTTGCCCGTCGCCACCGTTGACTGCCGGTCTCCGGAGTTGATTTTTTTTTTCTTTAACATCTTTTTGCCCCGTTTAAACAACAATATTGTTGTCGTTGACAGTCATATTAATTATACTACAGTTTAAAACAATAATATTGATATATTAATCTGCAGCACAGTAATATTAACACAATAAAAGTCATTATTATTGTGTAATAGAGTAATATTAATATGTTAACCGTTCAATAAAGGTAAACATAATAAAAAGCCAAAATAATTAACAGGGGTTTTTGTGCATAAGTCACTAACCAATCATCTTTATTGTTCTAGGTTTAGGAGTTATATCTCTTTCACCAATAAGCTCATCCCTTTAATATTTAAAGGAAAAATTCATGTATATGATAAAATTACCCCCAACCCTTTACACCCAATTCTTAATTGAAACCTCAATTTAATCAATTTTGACCACAAAAATCAAATTTTGACCTTTTTTTTCTCAAAAACTTTTTTTTCTCAAAAAATATTTTTTTCCCGCCGGTCTCCGCCGTTGACTTTTTGATTATCTTTTCCTGGTCTGTTTTTTCCGCCGCCGGATTCTGCCGTTGATTTCTTCTTCTTCTTTTTTTTTTGTTTTTTTTTACGTCCGCCTCTAAACGTTGACCGTAATTGTGCCGTCATTAACGGTAATTAAACTGTCACTAACAGTAAATTAACGTAATTATACTGTCACTGACAATACATTAAGATAAATGTACTGCCGTTGACAATACATTTATGTAATTGCTCTGTCGTTGACAGTACAATTAGAGCCAATGACAATATTATTATTGTCATTATTTTTGTTATTTTTTTTTATTTTGTTTGATTTGTTAACAAGTCAATGTAATTACATTATTATCGTTGACAGAAAAATAACTGTAAGCACAATAATATTACTCTCGACCACATCGATAATATTATTTTTTTGGGTTTTTTTGTTTTGTTTGAGTTATTCACGGAGTAACGTAATAATATTACTTTCTATTATTGTAATATTACCGTAAACACAATAATATTACTGTGGTTGATGGTGGTATTACAATTGTTATAGTAATATTACTGTCACTCATAGTAATATTAATTCTTTTGACTTTTTATTATGTTTAGCTTTGTTGAACGGTCAACATATTAATATTACTCTATTACACAATAATAATGAGCTTTGTTGTGTTCATATTACTCTGCTAGAGATTAATATAGCAATATTATTGTGTTAAACTATAGTATAGTTAATTTTACTGTGTTTAACAGTAATATAGTTAATATTACTGTCAATCACAACAGTATTGTTGTTTAAACGGGGGGCAAAAAAATGTTAAAGAAAAAAAAAATCGAAAAAGTCAATGCCGGAGACCAGGAAAAAATCAGGAAGAAAAAAAAAAGTCAATGTCGGAGACCAGCGTTGACTGCCGGTCAACGCCGGAAACCGGCGGAAAAATTAGGAAGAAAAAAAAGAGTCAACGGCGGTGACAGACGAAATTGTCCATAAAAATGTGTTTTGGGTCAAAATTGAACAGTTTGTGAAATTTGCGGTTAAATTGAGGTTAGGTTAAAATTAAAGGTTGAAATTGGAATATATTAAAACATGAGGGGCTATGTTGGTCTTTTACAAACCTCTGGACCATGTGTGAATTTTTTTGTATAAAAAGTTTATTGTCCGGACCTCTTTATGAATAAGTATTCATTGATGGACTTATTTGTAAAGTGCCATAATTAATATTGACGTGGATGATAGTAATACTACAGTAGTATTACTGTCATCCCCAATAATATTACCGTCAACCACAATAATATTATTATGTTTACACTAATATTACAGTAGTAGACAATAATATTATTAGGTTAATCTGTCAACAACTCAAACAAAATAAAATAAAAAAGCCAAAAAAAATGATATGGTTGACAGTATTTATATTGTGTTAACAGTTATTTTGCCGTCAACAACAGTAATATAATTACGTTGACTTGGCAACAAATAAAAAAATTCAAAAGAATAATAATATTGTCGCTGATTGTAAAACAACAGTACAATTACATAAATGTACTGTCAATGACAGTACAATTACTGTCAGCGACAGTATAGTTACTGTTAATGACAATACAATTACGGTCAATGTTTAGCGACGAGCGTAAAAAAACGAATAAAATTTTTAGGAAAAACAAAAAATAGTCAACGCCGGAGACCGGCGGTCAACGCCGAAAACCAGCTGCGGAAAAAACAGACAAGAAAAAAAATCGAAAAAGTCAACACCCGAGACCGGCAAAAAAAAAAATTCAAAAGATAAAAGTCAAAATTTAATTTTTGTGGTCAAAATTAATTAAATTGGAGTTACAAATAACAATGAAGGGTGTAAAGAATTGGGGTTAATTTTAGTATATACATTAACTTTTCCTTTATTTATAATACATATTAAAATGATGGGCTTATTGACGAGAAACATATAACCTCTTAATCTAAAATAATAAAAATAATTGATTAGAGACTTATACACAAAACAAAGAAAAAGTGTGAAGCCGCGGATTGGATTTTTACTAATTGATTAAGTGTCGTTAACTATTAGAAAAGATTCTCAAACAAACAATATTTTAATTTTAAGTGACCTTGGGTGGAAACAAGTATATAAGAAAATGGTATAAAGAAGAGAATAGACCTTGGGTGGAAACAAGTATATGGGCGATTTGTTAAACTTTCATTAACACTAATACTCTTTTAAATTAGAATAATGAGATTTTAACATTTTAATAAAAGTCTTTCAAACAGGGTCTTCTCCAACATTCCACACATTTTTGCTGCAACCTTTTAGATCTATTTCACTTTCGCTATAATCTATATTATTGCCGTCACCGAAACTCTTCCATACACAGTGATACACACGAGCACACACCCACTTAATGACACACACACAAGCACCAGATAGAGTGACTCACGCACACGCACACACACACTCACACACGCACAATAGTCTTTTGAAAAATCACATCAACATATTTTGTTGATTCACTTTGTTTAGCTACATAATTTGGGAGAGAGATGATTGTAGAAATATAAGTATTCCATGATAGATGACCATTGAACATAACTAAGCTCCGTAACTAAACTCAGTAACTAAGTTATATGTATAATACTTAGTCTGAGCTCTTTAAATAAGATCTCGAAAAAAGGATCTTTAGCAAATTGTAAAAGATCGCATGCCCTTTTAGCTATATAAAAATTTATGAAGGTGGAGCAGCTAATTTTCCCTTAAAAAAAATCCTTTTCTTTTTTGTTTTTTTACGAAGGAACCCGCAACAATAGATGGGCATATTAGTAAACCCTGCTCCTATACAATAGTTCGTGTGATATAAATTGCGGAATTCCTATGTGTCGAGATCGATTTAGAAAATACTGACAGAAGAAATTGAATTCGTATAATTAGATATTAACTCATATTTCACCAACTAGACCACTCGTTCGGATAATTAATAAATATATAATTGTTTTATAGGAAGAAAGTGAGGGTGAAGGGATAAAGGGCGTCACTCGTCCCACTTGTTGTTGGCATTGCTAATAAGCTTCCAAAACTTATCTTTCAACCATTCCCAATGGGCGGCCTTTGCCTTTTTGTCTTCTCACTCCTCTCTCTATCCATCTCCAATACTTTATTACTATTTCCATATCCAGTCCGGAAACTTTCACTAAAGTGTCATTTTGACCCCTTAAACTTTATTCTTTCTTGATTTTCAGATCAATTATTCGAATCATTGCTATTAAAAATAAAAAATTTACAATGCACGAATCATGTTAACGTGTCATGACACTAATTAATCTTAGTGTCACCTTTCAAAGAGAGAACTATTGAATTAAACCATCACAAAAACAAAAAAAAGATAAAAAAAATTTAAAACAAGAAAAATAAATGTAATAGGATATATAATAATGGGTAAATTACAACTACACCCCTGAGTATGCTAAAATAACTTTAAGGTCCATATAATATCTATAATTATAATAACCACCCTCTGAAACATTGTTAGAAACTCTAACAGAATAATGCATTAGATACGTTATTCCGACATATTTCTAACGGACTATTAGTTGCACGAAGTGGTGGAGACAACATAGAGCTAGGGGTGATTTAAGAAATGTTGGGGAGTCATGTCAGCCCCTAACTCTATGTTGTCTCTGCCACTTCCTGAAACTAATAGTCCGTTAGAACTGTATCGGAATAACGTATCTAATACACTATCCTGTTAGAGTTTCTAATGATATTTCAGGGGGTGATTGTGATTATCGATACCATAGAAACCTTAAAGTTAGTTTAGCATACCTGAGAGATGTAGGTGTAATTTACACATAGTAATAATTAAAATTATATTGTTTAAAAACTAATGAAAAACAAAAGTATCTTTGTCAAATTAGTTTTTGACTAATCAAATTTGTCAAGGTAACAAGTTCTAATCTAATTAGCTCAAACAATATTGATATTATCTAGTGTCATACTCTTTGAGATTACATCAATCAAAAGTCCCACTAGGATGAACTTAGCAAAATATGCAACTAACTAATATTTTCAATTTCTTTCTTATCACTCACTACCTCTCTCATGAAAATGAAACACTTGTACTTTATTTTAATAGCCAAAGGGCCCTTTGATTGTTCTTTGCTCTCACACACCCCACCAACACTTTCAATTTTGGCACTATAGATACCCCTCTCTTTTCAACTCACAAATCCTTGAAACAAACAACATATGTACAAATCCCTCATGGACTCAAGTACCTCAACTCTCCTTCTTTGTCCCCCACTTGAACTCCTCAAAAAAAATAGAGATAATAATAGTAATAGTAATAATAATAATAACAATGGCGTTCTACTCTTCGACACGAACCTCCTCGAAAAACAACAAAATCTCCCCACGCAATTCCTTTGGCCTAACGAGGACTTAGCCTACGCAGCTCAAGACGAGCTCACCGATCCACCGGTCGACTTGAACGGCTTCTTAAGCGGCGATCAAGAATCGACCGATCGAGCCGCCGCCCAAATTAGGGCGGCGTGCTTGAACCACGGTTTCTTCCAAGTCATCAACCACGGTGTCGACGGAACTCTAGTTAGCGCGGTGCATGACGAGATGGACGCATTTTTCAACCTCCCCTTGAGCAAGAAACTTAGTGTGAAGAGAAAACCAGGCTGTCTTTACGGCTATTCGGGCGCCCACGCCGATCGGTTTTCTTCCAAGCTCCCGTGGAAGGAGACGCTCTCCTTCACTTACGAGCACGCAAACGAACCGCAGCTTGATGTCGTTAACTACATCAAATCTTCCCTAGGGCAAGAATTTGAAGGATCAGGGTGAGATATACATTGCATTAATATATATAATTTATATTTCACCATTTTCATTTACACTAATACAAGAATTAATGAAGTTACTATATATACATATATACTTTTTCTTGCATTGAGATCTATATATTACCCCAATTTTCTTTATTGATATTGCATGATAATAATAAAAAATCTTGTTTTTTAGGTATGTTTATCAGAAATATTGTGAAGCAATGAATAATTTGTCACAAGTAATATTGGAACTCTTGGCGATAAGCCTAGGCGTCGAACGGTTTTACTACTCCAAGTTTTTCGAAGACGGTAGATCTGTAATGAGGGGGAATAACTACCCACCTTGTAGAAACGCGGGCCTCACCTTTGGCACCGGACCTCACTCCGACCCTAACTCGTTGACAATACTCCATCAAGATCAAGTTGGAGGGCTCGAAATCTTTTCGGACAACAAATGGCGAGCAATTAAACCTCGTCGCGACGCATTTGTTGTCAACATTGGAGACACATTCATGGTATAATTTTGTTCTTACTATATATCCATTTTTTTCTTTTTTTTTTCTCTATATTCAAAGGTTATTATTGTATATTAATTAACATAATTTCATGGTATGTATGCATTATTATTATTATTTCCCTTAAAAAAATTAAAAATATCTTTGGTGATTGAATGATTAAACACATGAGTTCAACGAGAAAAAAACAATTTTGATGAGGTGAAGCATTAGTAATGAGTTCAATAGGTAAAACAAAGATGGGACAACATATCCACCTTTTTCTACTTCTACTTTTTTTGGCTATTTATTCGACAATATAGGGCAAGAGGGGGTCATGGCCCCCAATTATTTCTAAAAAAATCTAGAGGTTTATTATTATTTATTGGTCTCCATAAAGATAAAATCCTGGTTCCACCACCGCCGATCAGTGTATTTACTACACGTATTTTTCAATTGATTTTATTGTATATATAGTAATGGTGTGTATATATGTATTAAAAAAAATGTGTAGGCATTATCGAATGGAAGGTATAAGAGTTGCTTGCATAGGGCAGTGGTGAACAAAGAGAGAGTCAGGAGATCAATTGTGTTTTTTGTGAACCCGAAAGACGACAAAATAGTGAGGCCCCCACCACCACAAAAAAGAAAGGATATAAATGTAATTATGAAGAAAGAAGAGGAAGAAGAAAGGGTGTATCCAGATTTCACATGGTTGGATTTGCAAGAATTCACACAAAACCATTACAGGGCAGACACCACTACCCTCCAAAACTTTGTCCACTGGCTTTCCTCCAACAAACAAACACAACCTTAAAATATTAATTATTAGTGTTTCTTGGTTTGTCTTTTTTCCTTTTTTCTTTTTTTTCTTTTTTTTTTCTTTTGTTGTTAAATAAATTATCATGGGTTACCTGGTTTTTATTTTTATTTTTTCTTCAATAAAAAGTAAAAACATGATGATTTTTTTTTTTCATTTTTTTTAAATTTCTTAGTTTGTTTTGTCTTCTTTTGAAATTTTTAGTGTACTATTCTCGTTTGTACATAAATTGAACTGCAATTTTTTTTTGGGCTTTTGTTGATTTTGATTTAGTGTAATTTAATCTTATTTTTCTGCCTTTTAATTATATTTATTTATTATTTTAGTTCAAAAGATACTATAAAATAGATAATAAGCAGAGAAAAATGTCAAAATACATTTATGCAAAACATAAAGAGGAAAATATATTGTTCTTATGTAGAAGAACAGTAGAATTAGTATGCACGTGTCCACCCTTGGGCAACGATGGATTCGATCCCCCTCAATTGCAAACCTTCATATAATATCTATATATATTTATTTAGCATCCAAATTTTATTATTTAGCCCACTCAAATCTCAAATTAATGCAAGAAATGTCGTAATAGTTTTTTTCTTTTTTCCATTCCTATTTTCTGGTTTTGTAAAAAATTGGTCATAATTTTTTTTTTCGAAGACAGCATCTAACCCACCTAAATCTAAATTAATGAAAAAAAAATTCTATTTTTTTCCCCTGTTTTCTGGCTTTATCGGAAAAAAATCCTAAATTTATTTATGTGATGTACTAGATTCAG